ACCCCAAAACCCCTAAAATAGGATTGGTAATTAACCCTAAACCCTGATCCCTAAACTCAAACCCCTAAAAGCTAAACCCCAAACCCTAAATCCTATAAGCCCTAAACCCTAAACCCTAAACCGAAAGCCTTAAGCTTCACAGGAGGCCAAGGCTCAAGTTGCCGAGTGTCGAGGCGCCAAAGCCCACGCCCTCAGCCACGAAGCCCCGCGAGTGCCGGTCGTCGAGGAGAGTTTAGGGTTTAGGGTTTTGGGGGTTTTGGGGTTTAGGGTTTAGGGTTTAGGGTATAGGGTAAAGGGGTTTAGGGGTTTAGGGTTTAGGGTTTAGGGTTTAGGGTAGAGGGAGAGAGAGAGGGGCACGAACACGGAAACTTCAAACACGAGCTCAAGCAACACCGCCAAGTTGAACCATGTACGGACTAGGAACCTCGCCGCTTGACATCATATCTTCCAGGATTCCAAGCCCCTACATCAACCGAAACCCTAATGCAGTACTCTGACATACCCCCTGCATGCCACAAGAAGCTATTAAGCTCCTTCAGACCTTTGCGTTACGGGAAGCGCGCAACAACAAAGTCCTTCCCCCTTGGGTGAGGTCCGAGAAGCTCACCATGAATGGACTTCTTCGCCGCCGCCTTTGATCGGCAGGCTAAACCCCGAACCCTAAACCTTCAACCCCTAAACTTCCAGGCTTGTCCGAGAGTGAGTGTCAAAAAAACACCCCTAAACCCTAAACCCGGCCTAAACCCTAAACCTTAAACCCTTAAACAAAGGGCTTTCAGGGCCCTGACCCTGGGGTCGAGGTTTCAGGGTGTTCCACCTCGTCAAAAGGAGGTCTCAGCCGACTTTGGGATGAATGGAAACAGGCTTCCGGCATTCCTGAGGTCTGCGAACAGTTAGAGGAGCCGGACGAGGAACACAGGCATGTAACTCGTGTTTAGAGCATGGGCATGCGGGGCCGAGTCTCCTTGGTTGAGGGATTAGAAGTGGGATCTCGGTTTGCGGGAAGAAGCTTCGCCCGAAGGCCCAACGATACATCTGACGCAGTCTCATTCTCGAGGCCGGCATCTTGCACAGTCCCTTACGACCTGAACATTCCAAAGCACCTTACTTAAAACCCTAACCCTAAACCCATTGCCCTGAACCCAAAACCGTGGGACCCGGTCAGCGAAGCGGGTGGGAAAAGACCCTAAACCGTTAAGTGTAAGTTTACTAAACCCTAAACCCTATTCTCATTATGCAGGCCCCCACGAAAGGACCTATTATAGATTTTAAACCCTATACCCTAAACCCTAAGTCTCTGGCCAGGTGACGAGCCACGTCTCCCGTGTCACTGCTGAATGCGGAGTTTCCGAAACTAAGGGCCAGGGCACTTGAAGAGAAGATCTGAAGCAGTAGGGCTTAGGGCTTTGGGTTGAGGGCTTAGGGTTGAGAATTTAGGGTTTAGTGCTCAGGGTTTAGGGTTTAGGGGCCGACTCTCCAAGCCCGGATGCAAAAAAAGGGCATGGGGCTGGGTTCAAAAAAGGGCATGGGGCTAGGGTTTAGGGTTTAGGGCATGGGGCTTAGGGCTTAGGGTTTAGGGTTGACCAGAAGAGCTGGAGTAATGCAGAGGATAGAGGTCTGAAATCCGTAGGGCTTTTCTACAGTCCCTGATAAGTAAATAGATACAGTTGCAACAAAGAATTAAATCGATACCAACAAACAAATCAGAAAATTCACAAATAAAGAAAAGTTACAAATATAAACATAAAAATAAATCCGTATCTATCTATATACATATGCATATATATGTATATATATATATATATGCATGCACTGTAGTGTGCCGTGGAGATTTATTCTAGTGCTTAAGGCCTCCTCATATATTGAATCCCATAAGGCCCGATATTCATTCCTGTTCCAATAATCGCGGCCGCTCTGTCCACAAACCCAAAAGCTCATTTCGGAAATTCCTGAATTGGCTCGAGGCACTTGCTGGCCCTAGCCTGCAGCCCGATTCAGAAACCACGCCCGCAAGCCCGTATCTGCGGTTTAGGGCTAGGGCTTGGGTGTAGGGGTTCGGGGAGTGGTGAGTTGCGGTGGACTCGAGTCCCAGAGCAGAGGGCTTGGCCACTTTGAAACATCCATCCATCCCTCCATTCAGCCTGCCATCCAGCCAGCCAGCCATCCAGTCATCCAGCCATGCCTTACATCAATCCCTGCGTCAAGAGCATTCAGATAGATGCATGCATGCACACATACATGCGTACACACCTACATACTAGGTTTACATATACAGACACATGAAACGCGCACACACACACACAAGTATCTATGTGTATATATAGGTACACACACACGTATATAACATGGTTATGTGTACAGTCTACACATATGATGAATGTGTGTTCTCTGTTTCTTTCGGTTATGTATAAACTTTGGCAATAGCATGTAAGACAGTATATAAATATCTTAATCTTGCATATATATATATATACACAAGGCTGAATTGCATGTATGTGTACTTGCGTGGGTGCATGTGTGCATGCATACGCACAAGCATGTGCAAGTACATGCATGCATGTGCGCATAACATACATGCATCCAAGCATCCATCCATTTACATTCCATGTATCCAACCGTCCGTCCGTCCGTCCGTCCATGCACCCACCCATGCATGCACACAGCCGTGCATACATGCATCGGCGCATCAATGTGGTGGTATTCGTGAATATGTGTTGTGTGTGAAAATATGCATGTGTGTTCATGTGCTTGTGGATGAATGTAGGGGGTGCATGTACAGCATTAGACAATGCTTCGTACTTTCTCAGAACATGAGCTACAGGTCTTATACTTGACGTTCGTGCTCGTCGTCGCGGTGGAATTGGTAAGTGTAGTGCTCGGAAGCACGCTGGACCATTGCGACTGTGGCCCCAGGTGAAAAAGGTCTTGGCAAGGCGCGTAGCAGGGATTGCTTCCTGTCTCAGTAGAGAGTGGAGCTCACCGTCTCAATGTGTACACGCCGAGGAGGAAATCGCATTGCTGATGAATTGATGGGAGATTGCTGAACATTCTTGAAAGAACCGTAGTCGTGCTTATCACCCTGAGCCATCGATTCGAGATGTTGAAGTAGGGAAGAAAATTGTTTTGTTAAAAAGTATAAGTGCCATGTTACTCCCAAGCTGAACTGTCCCGATTTGATTGGACCACCATGGTCCCGATCTTTGATTGCTATAAACCATGAATAAGATGCTATTCAGAGTGCCAGAATGTGGCTCGAGCTTGCAACCTCCAATTCGGAACCCTCAGGTGTAAACTTTCGATGTGGCTGGTTCTCTAAATTACGGACCCGCTTTGGGTCCCCAATATAGCACGGCACCCTTATAACAATGACCCTAAAGGGGACCCTAATTTAGAGAACTACCCATGCAGATTCCAAGTTTCTGAACCCAATACCTCGAGACCCTAAACCCTAAAGCTCAATACCCTACACTAGACCCGAAGCCCTACGCCCTCAAGTAGTTCCTTTTGGGGGTTCATATATAGAATCCTATAAGGTAATAAAAAGGAACTACTATGGGGTGTATGGGTATACCCTAAGCCCTACACCCTTCAGGCCCTATACCCTAAAACCCAAACCTGACAGGAACACGCCAAGTGGTCGCCCGTGTGCACTGCCTTTTATCGCCTGCATCCCGAGATCCGTCCACACCTCGGCTCAGGTATTGAGGGTTTCGTTTTTTTTGTTGTGGGGGGATCGGCTTTGAGGGTGTCAGGGTTTAGGGTTTTGGGGTTTTGAGGGTTTAAGGGTTTAGGATCTCAGGGGAGTTCGACGTTGCTTAGGTTGGGGAGTACCTGGACCCCCAAAAGTATGTAGAATCATAGCCGTTTTAGGGTATTGGGCCATTATTTCACCGACTTTTGGGGGGGCTAAACCCCAAACCCAAAACCCTAAACCCTAAACCCTAAACCCTTTCCATGTTTTGCGGCTTTTTGTACGTCGCCAGGCCTTGGAGGATCCGGCTCCAGGGTTCAGGGCTTTGGTTAGGTCCTTTGTTTTATAGGGTTTAGGGTTTAGGGTTTAGGGTTCAGGGTTTAGGGTTTAGGGTTTGGGGTTTAGGGTTTGGGGTTTGGGGGGTTCCTTCAAGGGATCTTGCTTTTGCATATACGGCTTGAGGGCTTTGGGGATTTAGGTGGTTTGCCATTCTTAGTTCCCCAATACCCAACCTTTAAGCTTTTTGGGCTCTTATAATTTAGTAGTACTCTGAAGGTTTAACCTTTTGTTCCCTGGCTTATTGGGGAAGTAAGCCATAAGAAGCGAAAAACCAGGCCGAGCTTCTAGGGCTCCGGAGCAGGGCTGATGGATTTTGTTGGGAAGAGCGGTCCTGGAGATTCGATTCCCGTTTAGGGTTGAGGGTTTCGGGGTTTAGGGGTTTAGGGTTTAGGATTTATATAGACATGTGCGACCTAAGACCCAACCGGACGCTAAAGCACAAGCCCCGATCAGCCCAAGAATCTCACGAACCCCACGCCCAATAATCAGTCTTAGAATCCGATGACAAAGGCGGCAACACTTGCAAACATCTTGGCAGCCGATGCACCACTCCGTGCAACATTATACATTATGTGTGTGTGTATATATATATATATATTATTGTATTATACTGCATTCTGTCATTTGTATTTGTGTTCTTTTAGACATGTTGAATTGTGACCACCGTTGCCTTCATGGTCAGCTTAAAGAGTGACATCCACCGCAGGTAGGAGTCAAGTGCCTCGAAGCAGTGGAACCATGAGTGCAACACTCCATGAAGCATGATAAGAGACCCGAGCAAAACTCTATCAGACCCTATAACACCTTCTAAAAAATAAAGACTCCAAAAACTCGATAATGCTCTCTTGGACGCTATAAACCCTTGCCAAACCCCGACAAGATCCCTACAACTGTGTCGAGGTCTGACCAAAGAGATAACTGGGGAGGATGCTGTAGATCTTGTTGCGCACAGGCCTCGGAACGATTTCAGCTTTTAGGGTTTAGGAAAGTTTAGTGCGTTTGGAGGAACATGCCGGGCTTCAGGAGTTTAGGGTGGGTTTATCTGGTTCAGGGTCTTTTGGAGAACTTTTAGCATGTTCTCAGGTAGAGGCTTGGGTGTTTTCGAAACTGCTTGGAAGAGGCTTTTTAGGGTATGCGTATATTGTGGAGTGACTTCGTCAAAAGTCTGCAGCACTGTGGGCTCCACGCAGATGTTAGACTCACGAGACGGAAGTGTGCCAACGACGCCTCATCCACCGCCCTCTTGCACAAGTGACCACGGATGTTGTGCCAAGGTGCTGTCCTGTGAATGTCTTCGATATCGAGGACCGAAAATGTCAGTTTCGGACAGTGCCCCTGTAGAAGCTTTGCAAGACCTTTTTTGGTGGCTTCCTTCCTGCCAGTTTGGGCTTCCACAAGCTGTCTACATGCCTGATGCCGTTTAAGCCATGTAGGACGCAGTTTTTGCTGGGCTGCCAGTTCCAGTTCTGGCTGCCACAAGCTGTCTAGATGCCTTAGGCCAATTAGGGCGCAGTTTTTGCTGGGCGGCCTTCTACTTTTGCCTATCAACTTCAGCCTCTTCCCTGGGAGGACGTTCCGGATGTTGGCCAGCGTGCCGTGGTGAAGCAGGGGCCTCGTGAGGGGAGCTCCTGGCTCCTGGCCTTCTGTGAGACCTGGATATGTGTGCATAGTATGACTAGAATGCCATAGTCACTTTGGTCGTGGGCAGCATCATCGTCAGGAGGAGTAGTCGTAGTAGTAGCAGTAGTAGTAGTAGTAGTAGCAGCAGCAGCAGCAGCCGCAGCAATAGCGGCGGTAGCAGCAGAAGTAGCAGCACCTGCAGCTGCTAGCATTTTGTTGCCATTAGTATTGCCATCGCCGCTCGTGTGGTCATCGGTACAATGGCTTTTCGCGAGGACAAACCTTCAACCAGCTGTTGACAAACCGATCAGTGCAATGATCAGGCAGCCCGCAACATTGTTACCATTCTGCGGACTATAAGGGTGTATTCCTTGCATAGCAAGTTTATATGTGCTTTGGATTCGGCTGCCTCGGTGATGCCATCGGTCAGGAACGCTCGGGCCTGCACGACGTGCCGGGAGTGCCTGGAATCCTTCCCCGGCAAGGCGGATGGCCTGTTAGGATTTAGGGGAATGGTTGGTTGCGCTTTAGGCTTTAGGGCGCTGTGTCGGGAAAATTGTGTAGGGTCACCTGTTGGAGCTGCGGGATGCGGATTTGGTCATGGTTGCTTCTTGCTAAAAGAATTTCACTAGTCGTTGGATCTCCTTTCTGCATCAAGTGTCTGGTTATATACCAATATGCTGATGCCACTTCATTTTCCACTCTCGGAGATCCGCGCAGCGACGAGTGGATGTGTGTGTGGTGTGGTGCTTTGAAGGGGTTTTTTCCAGATGTAACTTTCGGAAGAGGTCTACTTTCGGCATTGTGGGTGCCACATCGATCGCGACAGTCAGCATCTGCTGCTCAAGTGTGTCGCGAATCTGTCATAAGGCACCTTTGGTTTTCAGGTGGTTGAGAAGTCTTCAATGAAGACGTGGTTTTCAGATTTCTGCAAGTCTTCTGTGTTAAGGGGCTCTGAGAGTGTCGACTGCTGAAGCATCGAACATGAGGGTCGGAGAATGGCCCTCGGATAGCCGGATCGCGCAGGAGGGCGAGAAATGTCCTAATGTGCTGGGTCAAATGATAAGTACATCGACTGCTGCAACTTCCGAAGGCTTTTCCAGGACTCAAGCTTTGCCACAGGTAGGTCCAAATACTTGTCAACGATGACCACACCGGCGGCATGGTCATCTTTGACAAGTATTTTGACCTATCTGTGCCAAAGCTCAAAGCCAGGATCGTCTACTACGGGATGTTGCTGCTTCGTCGGACCAACTACCTGGGGGCGGTCTCCTCGGTGGTGTGGCTGAACATGAAGTTTCTCGGGTCGAGCTTGCTGCAGAAGATGAAAGTGAACGTGAACGTCACTCTTCGGGTAATTAGTGATGCTTCGAGTGATAATGCCGCGAGTGACAGTGGTTCGGGACGTACTGGGCCTGTGATCCAGGCGAGGAAGGAGTCGACTTCGGGGAAGACAACAGTGACGAGTACTTGGACCTTTATGTCGACTTCCAGTTCTTCCAGCTGCACTCTGTCGACTTCCGATGAGACGAAGTCGAGGTGCAATTGGAAATCGAAGTGCATGTATAAGAACTGAAAGACTCCCCTTTCTGCTACCTCAGCACTTTGACTTCCAATTGCACTTCGACTTCCTCTCGTCTCATCCAGAGACGTCAGCACTGGGACGTAATTTCACGATGGATGCCTCTGCTTCCCCCTCAAGTGCAGTTTCGGCAAAAGGGAATGTGAGTTACCTTGTCTTTGACGAGCACCACGCTTGCGACGTCAACGACCCACCACCAATATGGCAATACTTCGAGTACGATGGCCAGTGAAGGAGTCGTGGGTTGCACCTCAGCTTCGTCTTCTAA